CATCTTTACTGCAAATGTTCCTTATGGCATACTCAATTCTCCAAGTACCATACATCTTCACTGCAAATGTTCTTTATGGCAGACTCAATTCTCCAAGTACCATACATCTTTACTGCAAATGTTCCTTATGGCATACTCAATTCTCCAAGTACCATACATCTTTACTGCAAATGTTCCTTATGGCAGACTCAGTCCTCCAAGTACCATACATCTTTACTGCAAACATTCTTTACAGCAGACTCAGTTCTCTGAGTACCATACATCTTTACTGCAAACATTCTTTACAGCAGACTCAGTCTACTAAGTGCCATACAAATTTACTGCAAGTGCTCCTTATAGCAGACTCAGTCCTCTAAGTACCATACAACTTCACTGCAAGTATTCTTTATGGCAGACTCAGTCCATCAAGTACCATACAACTTTACTGTAAGTGTTTATTATAGCAGACTCAGTTTACCAAATACTATAGAACTTTGTTGCAAATGTTCTTTATAGCAGAGTTTAGTTATTTAAAATATTTTAAAGCTATATATTAGAAATTAACATCTCAAGGAATTGTGCTCTCTGTAGAACCTGTTCACATCATATTCTGCATTAATGACTCTTGCATAAAGAAAGTACGCTTAAGTTTTATCAACATCCAAAGACAAAAAAACGCAAAGACTCAGATAAGTAGTGTATTTCTTGTTTTTCACGTGTTTATTTTATTCATTATAAATGTAAAAATTAGAAACTTATTAGGTTAAATTAGATAAGATGATAAAAATAATAATAAAAAATTCTCCATGACATATGCTCACGTGTTACATAATTCAAAACAGTAATGTGAACTACATGTTCACCGAGTGATTTAGAACATAAAGACTCGGGTAAGTAGTATATTTCTTGTTTTTCATGTGTTTATTTCATTCATTATTATAAAATGTAACTAAAATGTGAAAATTAGAAACTTATTAGGTTAGATTAGATAAGATTATGAAAAATAATAATAAAAAATTCTCCATGACAGATGCTCATGAACAGCTCGCGTGTTACATAAACTGGAGTCATTCTAGAGAGAGAAAAAAGGAAATTTATATTTATTTCATATTTTCAATGGTGGTTACGAGGTTGGTCAAATTGACTAAATAGGTATAGGGCTAGAGCAGAGAAATATATATATAAATATATCTGTATATAAAGCACAGAAATCTGTGTCTGTCTATTTGTCCATTATCTAACTACTCCTAGATTGCTTGGCTTATCTCAACCACATTTTGTGGGATGATAGTTTGCAACAAGGGGCATGTTAATGGGGGTCCACAATTCCCAGTATTGATGTTATTGAGCATTTATTATCTTTAATGTAAATTAACACTAACTACATTCTTAGATGGTGCCACATTCTTACACCAAACAAAAAAAAACAAACAAACTATTTCCTATAACACAACATACACACAGTGTGGGGGGAGAGCATACAAACATCTTATATATTTCTGAGAGTGCACTAGTATTCTCTATGGAGGAATGCAAAAAAAATGGCTGCCACTGTTGCAATACCACATAAAGTCAGATGAAGTTTATACTCCAATAGCCACCATAACGCCGATATGAAGAGCCATTTCTTAAATTATACTACTTCGACCTGTGACCTTACAACTTCGTCCTTTAAGACACTTCTGCAGCCAACGATCTTCAGTTAATTAATAACCTGAAACAGTGTGGAAGGATATTAAGAGCTGGGTGTTGAAAGCGTCTTTCCTTTGGTCGCTACCTCTTCGTACAAATCACCCTGACCATCGCACAGTGTATACCATGTTTTAAGTATTTACATAGCGAGTTCTTAAAGCTTATACAAAACTTTTAGTGAGGTAATAATGAATACTGTAATAATATGTTATGTTATAAATAAC